ACAGATTGAAGCTGCGCAAAGCAGTTAAAGATCTGCTGCTGTTGGGAAGTCATGACTGCAGTGGGTGTCATGAACTTAAATTTGCCTTTTGGAGATTTTCATCGTTTGTCCAAGCAAGTTAGATGTTCGCAACTCCATCTTTTCCACCTATGGAATAAGGAGATATAGGTAAAGAAGTCTGAGATAGGTTGATAGTTTGTGAAAATAACTTGCTTTAACAAAGTACTGCTTTATTTTTAATTGATTGTTTTATTGGTGTTGTAAATGGTTAGGGGATTTCAATCTCAAAGGCTACTGATTTAATCAACAACAGACCAATAACTCTTGTGAAGACTATTCACTCATTAGTAGCAAGAGGAATCAGTTTTTATCTCACTAAATCCAGCGTTGCCTCAGTCCCATTGAAGTGTGGTGGTTATCATGTGTGCTAGTATAAACGAAATCTGCCTTGGGCTCCGGCTACTGCTCTGCATACCAAAAAGGGAGGCAGAGAGTGTAAAACCTCCTTCACGTGTTATTTTAGTTGACAGTGGAAAAATACTCGTGTTTTTGTGATTAGGTAGGCTCCTGAATGAGTACTGCTGGATCTCAACTGTGTGACTGGCCGGAACAAAAAGCTTCTACTTATGCTGATACTTCAGATTCAATATATACATTGAAATCCTGTTTAATACAATGAAATGACCATGATCCATTGGAGCAGCAGTAGCAATGCACCTATCTAATAGCTGTGTAAAGCAGTTCTGCTCTTTACTTCCCAACCCCACCACCCCACCTAGGCAGTGCGTTGTGAGACCAAGCGCTGGTGAGTGGGCACGTCAGCCCTTTTTCCGTAATGCAAGAGTCATGTGAAACGATCATGTGATGTCTAGCACAGTGAGAAAGCAAAGGAAAGACCACAGCATAAGCTGTCTTTACAGATATAAATAATACTCCGTGGTCCAGTGACACAGTCCTGAACGTAATGACCCCTCCACTAGAAGTGCCTATATTGGCTGCATTTTAATCTGGCAAATAGCTTTGTAGAAGAACTTGGATTATTTTCTTTAATAAAGCTAGTCAGAACATAATTTGTATTATCTAGATGTATTTGATTGCCTATTTAAAGTGTATAGCATTGGTTTAAAGACATTTGTTAGATTTTCTTGAGACATCGCAAAAGAATTTAGAAATGCATGAAAATGAGCAGTGACTGTAAGAACTGTTACAGCGGTAAGATATTATATCCAGACACTGGGTTTGATTTATAAAGCCCTGTTTGTTTTAATGCTGCCTGTATTACAGTTTCCTTCATCTAATGTAGAATCTGTTGCTAGAAGGTATTTTACTGCCACTGAGAAGTTATACCATGTTAAAATGATAATGAAAACAGACTTTATTTTTACTGTAACAGAATTGCTGAAGTCAGCCCTGAATCCTCCCTTGATAAAGTTACCTCGCAGTAAAGCTAAAACATCTTATCTTAGCTCTGATTTGCTTCAGTGAGGGCTCGCAAGTAAATGTTTTTAATATTTGTTTTTCCCCAATCAGGAACAGAAACCCAGATGTTTTCTCATCTAGTGCGAAGGGGTTTTTGATGACTGGGTGTTTTCCAGATTTCCTCATAGAATTGTTTCTTTTCTGGAGTTGAGAGAAAGCTTTATGATATATTTACACAGTGTTTTGTTGGGGGAGGGGGAATTTTTAAGAGGAAGGGGTAAATAAAGGTTACTTTTTCCTCTTTAAAGAAGAGTTAACATCAGATTTGCACAGGTTTTTTTTTAATTGAAAATTCCATATTTCAAAAGTGTATATATATATATATTTTTTTTACTTAGCATAGTTTTTCATGTGTTTTGACATATTTTCCTGTATTATGGTCAATCTTGAGCAGAACAGCAGTCCCCTTCGGCCCCCACCGCCGGCAGCCTTCGAGAACCTGCTGAAGCTCTGAGCACAGGATGAACCCCATGTCAGGCATTTTAACCTTGCCACAAATGTTGTTTTATGTTATGTGCGCACACATAGAAAACGTGGCTAACTAAAAAGCAACTTGTAAAAGGTTGACTGAAATAGTGATGTATTCTAAATAAATTAAATGTAGTTAGCTAAGTTGCCTAATAGAACGTGTTTTACTATATTCTGTTTTTAAGCATAAAATTCCTGGTTTGTTGTTTAGGCCTCCAGAAATTAATGATGCTGGCTTCTAAAAATCATTGCGCTTTGAACATAATTAACTTGGGGTCGTGTTTATTTGCTTTCTGGTTTGGAGGCTTTTAGTTTTGTGTATGCCAGCCTCTGACCGAATCTGAAAGCCTACATATTTACCTACTAAAATAAAGTAGAAGGTGGGTTTTTAATTTTATCCTCAATGCAGAGCTGATGAGGGCTTTTCAGTACTGTAGGAAAAATGATGTTTTTCCTCTAAAGGTTGAGGAGAAATAAGTCTTTGTTGCTGCCTGCCTTGGACGTTGTCTCTCCCTCGGGCTGGGGCAGTGCCTGGAGCTTCTGTAGCTCCAGAGCGCGGAGGGAAAAGGCAGCGAGTGCTTGCTTTGGCAGCATGTGCTGCTTGAACACCTGCTTCCCCTCTTCTCCAGTGCAATCAACACAGGCCACGGAAGGCACCGATAAGCACTAATCCATTTTTTTATTATAATTTTTTTTAATTGCCTCATGCTGCCTCAGCTGATGCGTTCAGCGGAAACGTTAAGGAAATAGTTTGCATAGCATCTGAGAAAAAATCAGATTGCTGAGAATGCTGAATGGTTGCTTACCTGCCTTTCCAACCAGACCATTACTTTTATGCGTTGTCTGTTGTCTTAAATCGGAAGCGTCTGGTCTGTGAACTACACACTTTTAGAGTACTTAACACGATAGGACTCTGCTCACCGCTATAATACTGATGCACTGACTTTCATTTTAGTAATAAATATATTCAGTGATATACAAATCCTGAGTAACAGTGAGAGGTAAAATGCCATGCAGCGACTGTTTTCAACAAGTATTAAATTGTTTAAAGCATACTGCTTTGTTTGGCAATTAAAGCTGAGAGGTTTCTTTGTATTGGAGAGGAGCTGGACAAATGGAGGGTAGAAGCCAAATCTGTCTTTCTAGGCTTTGTAACCTTGGGCGTGGTGTCAAAATCAGAATAAACCAATTTTAAGTCCAGGATGCTGCCAAAAAGGATATAGTTCCCAGCCTGAGCTATGTGTTCCTGCCTTCTCCCAGCAGATTAGCGCTGCCTCCCCTCCCCATGCAGTCACTGGACTGGTCCCTGATCCAGCTGAGTGTGCGTGGGGAGGGGGGGTGGGATGGTGTGGTTTTTTTTTTCCTTCTTTTTTTTAAAAGCAGCATTCATTTTCAGCTTCTCTGTGTTCTCACAATGTGGCCAGAGGGCACCAGGAACATAGGACTGAGAGTGAAGAGGCAGAGCTACCCCTTCTGGTGGCAGCTTCAATGAGATACTGAGATGAACCCAGTCATGCAGCTTGCATCCTTGGGTGTTTTCTTCTATGAGTAAAGGCAAGGGAAAAGGAAAGATGACGACAAAACAGGGACTTCAGAAATTCAAGACGTTCCCAGTTTGAATATATCTAGCTCTGTCTCTGGATTTCTTTTCCATGAGAAGGTGACATGCAGGACTCTAAACCATGTTTCGGTTTCTGCAAGGAGTGGCAGTATAGATGTTCAGGTGTACATAAATCTGTGCAGATGGGCTTAGTCATGAGGCCCTCTGTTCCTTGAGTGCTTATTGAATAAGAGAGTAGAGGAGGGTGGTGGCGGAAGTAAGTGGATGTTTGTGTTGACCGTTATTGCCTTTATTGAAATCAGAAAAAAAAAAACCCAATAGTTCTCTGTGATGCTGTGCACTCTTGCCTTGATATCTACATAGCTCCAATCTAAAAGCAAAATTACGGTAGTCCAGATGCTTGCTTGTTTTGGCTGACTCTGCAGATTAGAATCAGTTTCATTGTCCTTTCCGCAGGATTTTCCTAATGGACGTAATAAAGTGCCTCGAGTCGGAACGTTCTTTACAAGGTGTAAACACGCAAGGAAGTTGTGGTTCAAGTGGTCACAGGTCTTGAGCAATGGAAGTGCTGATTCATAGCAGGGTTGGGGTTTGGGATTCCCCCCAGCAGTCTGGAACTGAGGTATGGCTGGTGACCTCATTGACTCCTTTAGCTTTAGGCGCAGCAAACCAGCAATTTAGGTGGCTTTTTTAAGCTATCTTTTCAGAGTGCCACATCCGTTTTCTCAATAAGCTAGCAAAGTTTCCATTGTTTCAGTGATAGTGCATCAGGAACATTACATGATTTAGAGACTTTTAACGTTACCACTTGTACAAAATAGCACTCAAATTAACTGGTTTCTACCAAACATCTACCATCACTAAATAGTTAACATAAAGTACAAATTATCCCTTATTCAACTCATTCCTTTGCATGGGCAAGCTCTCTTTAACGTTTTTATTATGGAATACCTTTTAATTTTACTCTTAGCTTGTAAGCGTGCTCGCTGATGTGCTTTATAGGCTGTGGTGGCATTCAGAATAAAAACATTAATACTGGGCAGAGCAGCGGAATTTCTGTCCCCAAACCAGTCCATGACAAAACTCATGTAACTTAATCAAGGCAATGTTTCTTCTGGAAGCATTAGTGCTAACTAGGCTCTGGCACTGATTCTTGAATGAAACAGTGCTGTAATCTGATATGGAAATCAAATATCCTGAGTATGAGATACTCATTGTGTCCCTGACAAAGGTGATACAAATTCTGTGCTGCTAAAACAAATCAGTGTTGTACTAATGCCTTGTATGTGTTTCAAAAATAGCTACCTTTGGCCCTAGGTATAAAAACTGAATAAAAGAATCCCCTTTTTAAGACTATTTCTATAAAAGAGTGATATTCTTCAGTGTTACTGTTTTCTGCCTGTCTGTGCGCATCAAAACCAATGGCTTTGGTTTTTTGTTCATACGGTACAGTTTCTTGTGGAATTAGGCTTCTTTTTCATTTTCTTTTTAGGCAACAGAGATTTTGCTCCTGATGATCCTTTGGAATTTAAGTCTCATCAGTGGTTTGGAGCCTCTGTGAGATCCAAAAATGATAAAATTCTGGTAAGCCTTTGCCTTTGAGATGCTTCAGTGTTAGCATACTGTAGTGGAAAGACTGTGAAAAGATCATGATAATTCATAATTTAAAAAAAACCTCACTACTTTGCTTGATTTCGCTTTTTTGGAATTTATTAGCTAACCCTTTTTTAACTCTTTATAAATAAAGCATGTATGTAGTATTTTTATCTATTTTTAAGGAAAGTGTAGTAGAATTAATTTACAGAAGTTAATAGATGTTATAAATTATTGATGAACTCTTTAAAAATGTTGCTTTTAAAAATATTATTTTGAAGATTCTTGCAAAAAATCAGCTCTCAGAAAATTAAATTTTCTAAAAATACAAACTGCTGATATTTCCTCCCTGCCAGCAGTGATAGTATAAATGTCTTCTCTATAGATAACATGGTACATCTGCCAAAATTGGGGTTTGGGGAGGGAGTTACTGTTCCATAGGTAATTGGAATTCCATTGTATTATTTCATACCCGCTGCAGCATTTTGAAGAGTGATTTATTTTCCATCTGTCACATCCTCCTTAGGCCTGTGCCCCCTTGTATCATTGGAGAACTGAAACAAAGCAAGAGAGGGAGCCTGTAGGAACGTGTTACCTGCTTGCTGGATCTAAAGCTGTGGAGTATGCACCCTGCAGGTCTAGTAAGTGTAGAGCGCTTGTTGGCTTTTTGTTTGGAATTTCTCTTGTGTTGCAGTATATTTTGTGTACATTTGAAGATGATTCTTTTTTTTTTTAACAGGTGCTTCCCCCTTTCATATGTAGTCCCATGGCAATTAGAAAAAACCCTTTGCTAGATCCAGACATCTGAATTCTCCAGTTGGTGTGCAGTGTCCAGAACTTTTCTCCGCTGTAGGCGAGAGCAAAATATTAGATCTAAATATCCTTGGAGCTTGAGGACTCAGGTCTTTAAATTGACCATTTCAGTAGTAATCACTGTATCGTTTAAATTGAGCCCCTCTCTGTAGTGTGTGCAGTGAACAGAAATTATTACAGCATTTTAGTTGATGCTTTTCACAGCTATCTGAATTGTACAACATTAGAACAACATATCTGAGGTGAAAAAGCACTTTCTGAATAGTTTTTTCTAAGAGCCACTCTAGAATTTCCTGAAACTTCATTATTCAAGTAACTTAAAAGGTTGATAGTTTTGGAGAACAAGATTTTGCGCAAGTAGGTTCTAATTTCCAGGTATGCACTGTGTGCATGTGTTGATGCGTTGTTTAAATTATATCCACTGTTGAACACTGAGTCTCATTTTTCCAAATACTTTGCATCCATACAGTGTAGTTAAGTTGGTAGAATATTCACAAATGCTCCTAACCTTAAAAAAAAAAAAATTAGCTTAAAAGTTGAACATCCAAGGTAGGTTTTTTAATTGCTGAAAATTATTGATGAACAACAGGAATGAAATCCAGTGCTGTTCAACATAAAAAGGGGGGGAAGGGTGGGGAGATTAAATAAGTACTATTAAAGTAAGTGAATGTCAACTACCCACGCTTCTAGATAAGGGTCTGTCAGCATTTCTACACTGGAGCTGTATAGTCACAAGATTATAAGATATAAAAATTATTGCTGGGATGAATCTTGGGGTGTATATTTTTTTCAGCCAGGAATTCTTTTTTTCCTTCAATTTTAAGGCAATACGTGAAATAATTTATGATTGCATAACATTCAGTTTTTTATTCTATGCAAAGAGGAAAAATTCATTCCCTTATTTCCAAAATATTTTATTTCCTGATTGAAAATTACGATTACTTTTTCCTAATACTTCTGAAGATAAACCAAAAGGAATATGGAGTTGCTGTTCACTTTGACAGTGTTAGGCTAGAACATTTGTTAGACCAGCCCTAAGGTAGCTACAGCATTTTGTTGTGAGTTGTTGATAAAGAGAAGATACTGATTTAGGAGGCAGAGAAACACCTTTAGAAACTTGAAAGGAGGGAAAAATTCCAAGGTTGAAGTTCAGTAGTGCAGGGTTACTTAGAAAAATTCATTTCCATAGAACTGTCTCACTACCAATAATTATTTGGTTTTTTTCTCTTTTTTTTCTCTTTTGTTTCTACCTGTTCTTTTTTGTAGCCATTATTGATGCGGATGGACAAGGATTTTGTCAAGGTGGATTTAGTATTGATTTTACAAAGGTATGTGATTCTTACTTAATTCTTATGAGTCAGCAGACAGTTGCAAATTAACAGCAAACCTGATAAAAACCAAATACAAGCACGTCTGTAGTGAAATAAATATAAACCATTATTCTTGAAAGAAAAACCTGCTAAATTAAACCAAAAATAACTTTGAAAGAGTCTAGTGTTATAAACCTGTTTCTCCCTCGTTTTCTCAGCAGTACGCTTCCACCCCTTGTAGGAATCATATCTTAAATGATCAGCTTTTCTAGCCTCATGGCACAAACCTTCACTGCAGCTAGTCCTCAAGTCAAATAAACAGTAGTATTTAGGTTTTTAAGACGCTTATTTTGAAAGGATGCATGACTCATGCTACTACTTGAGGAGAAAAAAAACCTTACTTCTAAGAGAAGCTGGTAAATACTTCTCTTGTGAATTAGGTTTTGGTTTTCAAACTAGCTCACAGAATTATTTTGATTTGTTTCTTTTCGCTTTTTTTGCTGTCTTATGTTTCTTCTACTTTGTTCTTCCTCCCTTTTATAGTTTTTTTTTAATTCACAATTACTTTTTAAATCCAAGCACAGCAAAAATATGTACAAATATGAGAACTAAATGTAGGTCTCTGCATTCTACAGTTACATTGTTTAGCATAGTGTGGGCATGCTAAGACCACTCAGACCCTATTTACAATTTGGCTTTCTTTTGGGTTCTTCACACCTTGTAACTGGGTCATACCCCATCATTCTTTGCCCAAGGACATCTTTGTTTTGCCTCTGGAGGAAACTGTGGGAAGGGCAGTACAGGATTCTAAGTGACTGAGCAGACTCTAGCCCTTGGGCTCTAATCCAGCCCACTAGCTGAATGGGCAAGCCTGGGTACAAGGTACCTCCAAAACTCTGTCCTAGATTTTTCTGAGTGAAGAATATGGGAGCTTTTAGGTTAAAACCAGGATAAGTGGTTCAATTATGCGGTAGAGCTTATGCCCTGATTCAATAAGATACTTATGCAGCAAAGTCCCAGCACTTGAATAACTAACATGGTTGAAGTTTTATAAAATGATTTGTGGATTACACTTGTACCAAGGAACACAGAGTGGGGGAATTAAATCATAGCTTTTCTTAAATAAACGTTTCTATAGGTGAGTTTAAAAAAAAAAAAGTGGCAGGGGCAGAAGATGAAACTATTTGTGTACTGATGTAAAAATACATTATGGTTGCCTTGTAGCAAAATAATCTCTTAAAAGTTTTCTCCTAGTTGTATTTCTGTTGTCTTAGTTTTGTGTTGGTAGAAGGGTCTATTAAAATGAAATTATAATTCTGCTGATGATTTTAAATAGGTGGAATAGGAAAGAAAGACTCAAAAGGATATTGTTTGTTATCTCAGCTTTTTACAAGATACACTTTTTTTTGAAGAAATGATTAACAAATATATTAGGGTCAGTAAAGTTACAGTGATTTACATGCATGGGATTCCTAGGTTGCCATATATATAGGACATGTTTTCTTTTCTTTAGATGCACTTAACACAGAGATTTCTGCTTTTTTTTTCCTAGGGAGACAGAGTTCTGCTTGGAGGGCCTGGAAGTTTTTACTGGCAAGGTGAGATATATCCGTTAAGTCACGCAAGAAATTTGATTTCTTTCTCTTTGATTTCCTGTTCATCCTCTCACTCCTTTGTATCCACGCGCCTCCAACCACTGTCAAACTCTGCCTGTAAGAAAACTACCAGAAGTAATTTTTCTTACACCTTCAAAATATTTCGTGAATACTCAAGGCAACCATAGATTAAAACTGAATTGTACCGAGATATGTCTTTTGTCTTCTAAATAGCTATGAGCATTTTAAAGGCATTTCTTTAAAATGGGAAGTTTGTTTTTCCACTGGCTGGATAAGTTTCTTTTAGGATATTTTGCTTGTTCTTTCAAAACCTGCAGATTTTTTTTTATTTTCTGACACACCTATTTCAATGAGAAACGCACCTTGCAAAGAGAACTGTCATTTTCCTTCAAAGGCAAAGTTGTATTGCATTTTTACATTGATCTGTTTGTGCTGTGGTGCACATCTTATCTCTAACTGCATCGTTTCCCTGGAACCTTTCCTATAGCTCTTGCTAAAATGGGCTTCAGTGAGTGTTTGTTTGCAGGATCATTCAGTGTTACCCACTATGATCAGGTCAGTTCAGAAGATGGTACTGCTACAATCAGGACATAGCTGCCAAGCTCCTTTGCCTGTTTTTGTCTGTAAATACCAGTATTTATGAAAGATTTTCTATATCGTGTCTGCCTGCAGCGTGGACTCAGTAACACAGGAGGTTTGTTTCTAGTCCTATTTCAGATTCTAAAGAAAATAAAATGAGTGAAAATAAACTGCAGATGTAGTATAATGCAGATTATGTTTGCATATATTCATTTTATTGCTTTGTGACAAAAGTGACAGCTCATCTGCTGAAAGAACCTTATTCTTTTCTGTTACCAAAAAAATCTCAACTCTGAGTGGAAGATAACAGTAGAAACTGCAATTTCACCCCAAGTTATTATTCCACATTCCGAAATGCTGGGAAGAATAGTTCTCCCTAAACTTTGTACATGCCTAGGGAAGATGTATTGAAGTAAGTATTCTTCTGAAAAATTTTGTGATTAAAGGTTTAAATTAAAGAAAAGAGTGTAGTCAGGTCACCATCTAGTGGCTCATGAAGTGAAAACAGAGAAAAGAGTATTACGCTATGCTCATCTCATTAGCTTGTTGTCTGCCATATTAAGCTGTAGTGTGACGATCTTTAGCACAGGGGTGATGACCCAATTCTGCAATACCCATAAGCATGTGTTCATTGTTGCCTAACTGAGCAGTCCCATGCAAGTCCTTTTATGTGCGAGAACGGCTTCTGTTTTCAGTTAGAACGCTTCATGTGCTTTATTTAGTCTTTGCTGAAGCACAGTCCAAATTTTTACATTTTCACTTAAATCCCTTCATTGCTACTGTTGCTGGCTGTTCTCTGGCCGGTCTTGTTGAAGAGCTGTTGCTTTAGAAGCAAACGTTTCATGCATCAGTCCTGTTGCTTGATGAATGATTGCACGCACATTTTTCTGTATTTTCAAGCTGTTTTCTTTCTCTAATTTTAGGCCAACTTATTTCTGATCGAGTGGCAGAGATTGTGGCTAAGTATGACTCAAAAATCTACAGTACGAAGTATGATGACCAGTTAGCAACCCGACCGGCTAGTGCTGCTTTTGATGACAGCTACTTGGGTGCGTAGTTTGAAAAGGAAAAAAAAAACTATCTCTACTTGAAAAACTGCCCCTTGTACTATTCATATATTTAAATCACGCTGTTACTTAATATCTGATAACTGAAGAGTTACATATCTGAAAATACAATAATTTGTTAGTACGACAAGTGCGGTTAATTATCTTAATACCCCAGTCAGGATTTCTGTCCTTTATACTATTCCAAACTGCTGTCAGCTCTGTGTGAAGAAAGAACACAACTGCTGTTCTTTCTTATGCGCAGGAAAAAGATTTATCTGCAGAGTCCAAAGTTGATAATATGTGTGCATTTCACAAATGAACTTTTGACAAGATTACCAGTAAACAGTTGCTTGGCTTCACTGACTACTAGGTAGCCTTATTATAAATTCTTTAGAGATTTCAGTCTGAAGGAGCCTTTAATCAAAATAGAATCTAACTTTTTTTTGGAAAAGTTCAAATTCAAACATTTTTGTTCTGAACCACCTCTGAATCTGTCTGAAGCGTGCTCCTCATCTCAAAAAGCTGGTGTACCAAGTTTGTTAAAACCAATCTACTCAGTGAACTTGTCAGTTTTCGCTGTATGTTACGTAGATGCTGATGATTTACAGCCTATTCATGTTGCTGTTCGTTGTTTAAGCTTCTCGGAAGCAGTACTTGTTTCATTATGTCTTAAGGTGACACAAGATGGCAGTGCACAGAGTCCTGTGAAGAATGTAGAGAGAGATGAAAGATGTAATGAGCTTTTCAAAGTGATTGACTAATTTTGTCTGTTGATCAGGCTATTCGGTGGCTGTCGGAGACTTCAGTGGTGATGGCATAGAAGGTAAGACATTTATTTCAGTGAAAAATCATGCTAATGTACTGGGCAGGTCTTTCAAATAAAAGGGATAGGAAAAATGGAGCAGTGCACAGAAAAGCATATAAAGCACTAGGAATCAACTACTCTGTTCAAGCAAAGTTACTGTGTTTTGGAACATAAATGTTATCTGAGTGTCTTGCTTTATATTTTAGACTTTGTATCGGGAGTCCCAAGAGCAGCAAGAACTCTGGGCATGGTAGGAGATTTGAAATATCAAACTTTACAATAAATAAGAAGATGAATATTGTTGGTATGCCATAATGTGTATTTTCTGATACGCAGGTGTCTATTTACAATGGGAGAAACATGTCCTCTATGTACAACTTCACTGGAGAGCAGGTGTGTAGCTTTATTGAATGTGATGGGTGATTAGGGAGGTTATTTCTCTAGAAAGACTACATGTTGAGAAGATATCTAGGGTCCCAGAACGTAATTATATTCTTTATGTTATTAGCTTAGGTACCAAAGATAAACTGTATGAAGTATGTAGGAATCCTGAAAGTATATGTTCTGTGAGTTCCTCTTTTATGATACTGCTTAGAACAGTTTTTTGAATGGAGCAAATGCTGCTGACTTTGAGAACTAGGAAATAGGGCTGAATCATGAAAGGGGCAATGGGGAAGGTAACTGATCAGTTTGCTCTCTAACGGTATAAGGAATAAAAATGAAAATATGAGAAGAGATACAAACATTTTTGCAGTATATGTCATCATCTCCCTAAAATCTTGTCTATACAGCTGGATATAAACTTGTTTGTATGTTTATATCAACACAACTCACACATTTGTTCTAATCTTACCTTCCAGATGGCTGCCTATTTTGGGTATTCCGTGGCCGCCACAGATATCAATGGGGATAAGTAAGTGGGTTCCCTTCCCTCCCCCCACCCCCAACATTTTTCTGGAAAGAAAAAGAAAAAAAGTTTTTATTTAACAAGAAAAAAATCTTTCCTATAATATACATTTCTAATCTTCATTACTTATTTAACATGTATCTGCACAGTGCACTTCACTGACACTCAACATTTGTTTTAAGGAGTATGGATTTGTTTTGGTATGTATTCTGTGCTGGCTGGTGTGTATTCACATGTTTTAAATTCCAGTATATTGCTGTTTACTTTGTCAGTAAATGTTTGCTGTCAGTTGCAATTGAAGGATAGGAAATTTTCATCTTAATATTTAGTTCAGAGCTGCATTAGTCCTGCTAATGGATACTTGAGAGAATGAAACTGAATTTTCCTGCAGTTATTGAAGAACCTTATCCTTCTTTGGTCCAGTTATACAGATTTGTTTATTGGAGCCCCTCTCTTTATGGATCGAGGTTCTGATGGGAAACTTCAAGAGGTCGGCCAAGTTTCCATTTGCCTTCAGCGAGCCTCTGGAGGGTTTCAGATCACGAAGCTGAATGGTTTTGAGATATTTGCAAGATTCAGCAGTTCTATTGCACCTCTGGGTGATCTAGATCAGGATGGCTTCAATGGTAGGACATCGTTTATTGAACAGTATATTCAATTTATAGACTAAATAACAGAATGAATGTGGATTCTACGCACAAACATTAGGCATTCTAACCATGAGTGAATGTTGGACACTAAGGTCTAGACTCCTTTCGATGCTTATATGCTACTCCCAAGAATGCTAACAGGAGTTACGTGTATGCATCGAGCAGAGACTATACCATTTAAACTACAGCATGGATTATTTTAGCTGTTACGTTGATTAGTATATTTCTAAGTGATAAGTACAATAGAAACCTTGATTAAAGAACTGATTCCCCATTGGGGCTTGTTAGGACATCTTCACAATTATTTTCCTGTTTCCGTTGTTTAAAGCCAATCCTGCTCTCCAGAAATGCAGAGATGACTGAAAAAAAGCATTTGTGTCAGAGAGCTGGTTAAAATGTTCTGGTAAAAGAGGTTTCCTGAGAAAAGTCTAGATTTTTTTATTTCAAAATGGAAGGATCTGGGTAAAATATCTTGTAAGAACTACAGCTGACTATACTGAGAGCTGGGTGTCTTGAGGAAGTATTTGGATGAGAAGTTTGAGTTTGATACAACCAAAGCTGTGGACTCTCAAATCTTTGGCCAGTGCTTCTTGCTGCTTTCCCATAGCAGTGGACAGCAGTGAACCAGATGAAAATCATATAATTCTGGGACAAACACTTCCAGTTATCATAGTGAGAGTACTGTGTTTGGGAAATCATACTTCAGTGTTTCTTGGAGTCATAGGGATTTGAGTTCCACAAAAAATGCTCACGTTTCTGTTTTTTCATTCTGATTGCAAGTTAAATATTTTCTGAAGAATCAAAAATTATAATGGGCTAATATTTTTAAATCCCGGGTAGCTCTATTTTTTTTTTTTTTAATGGAATCATTGGCATTTTATCTGATCTTGAGCTTTCTTTCATTGTCTTGGAAATATCCCATAGTTCTATCTCTAGATAGATTGTCATACAGTAATATGAGTCATATTTTAAAACCTTGTGAGAAATGGAGATAAGATCCATAAAGCAGTACAATTTGTCTTAGCAACTTACTGATTAAGTGATATCAGGAGGATTAAGTGGATGAGTGACTTATCCATTAAAAGATAAAATTTGATTTTAGGTTAACTATAAGTGTTAACTTCATAGTCCCTTTTGTAACTTACCAGTTTGAACAGGATGTAAATTTTGTAGCTCAAAATATTTTATGCCATTGGTTATAATAAAGTTGTTAATAGTATGGAATTAGTGTGAAGAAGCAACATCACTACAGTTATTCGGGGAAGGCATTAGAAAAGTTAGCGCTGATAGCTGGAAATCTGGTCAGTTGATCATATTATCCAAATGATGTTTTGTTTTTTGTCGTATTTCAGCGTGAAATATAGCTTAAGTGAAAAAATCTTAGTGAAATATAGTTTCATTTTTTCTTTTTAAGATTAATTCCTTTGCCATTGGTCTTTTTTTTTTTTTTTAACCTGATCTGTTTCATTTGGGTGTGTTAATTAAAGTGCTTTCCATCATAGCATGGTGCAAGGTTGAAATTTCTACTGTTTCATCAAGTTTGTAAAGCTAAGTTGTAATACAGAATGGTAATTTTTTGAGTGCTTGTTCTTTTCATGAAACTTTTTGCAAATTTAAGGGAAAAGGGGGCAATATTATAATAATTCCCATTGTCTATATAGCGTTTTATTTAAATACTTTCTTGGTTGATGGAGTCCTAGAATCTACTTGGGAAATGCTGAATTTAGATCTTATGTATGCTTCTAAAGCTTTCTTTACAGATAGTGTTTCCTATAGAGAGTCCAATTAGCATTTTATTTATCACTGGTTTTCGTTCAGTGATAATGAGTGCCCTCAAACTTATTAAGCTGTAAGAGATGCAGCATAATTGTGTTAGTAGGAAGCTCTCCATGAAATACATTGCCAAGCAATGATCCAGATAGGCTGGAATTTGATATTTAATATTTCTTTAGGCTGATATAAGTCTTCCAGAACTATTAAAATGTCATACCCCTTGGATGTACGTGAGCGTGTTAATGAAATAGTCCCACTTAATTTTTTGATTTGTCTCCAGCAGTGACTAATTCTGGATGTTTAATGCTCTCCTCTAAAACATCCCAAATCCATATGATTTGGCTATGACTCAGTTATTGAAGTGCAAAAGTGTTCACAGGACTATTCCTTTTTTGCAAATGCAAGTCTGCGATACGTGTTCTTGTAGTTTCTAGGAAATCCCAGCATCCCATGGGCTATATTAAAAAAAAAAAAATTAAAAAAAAAAAGCATTTCATCCCTGCTGGCACACACTGAAACAAATAGAAATTATTGATCACTGTCAGCACAGATGTTCCCCTTGTCTATGTTTGGAGATGTTGAAGACTGCTGTTTTGGTTTACAGATATTGCGGTTGCTGCACCATATGGTGGAGAGGACAAGAGAGGGCTTGTTTATATCTACAATGGAAGAGCAACTGGTTTGAATGCGGTCCCATCTCAGGTTCTTGAAGGGCAATGGGCAGCTCGCACTATGCCACCCAGCTTTGGGTACTCACTGAAAGGAGCCACAGATGTGGACAAAAATGGATATCCAGGTCTGTTGCTCTAAATGTCACTTTGGAATAACTTAATAGTATCTCTAACTCTGATTAACAGCAGATTTAAAAAAATTAATTGTATGTATGGTATTTCTCCTTTCTTTCTAGATCTGATTGTTGGAGCGTTTGGTGTTGACGCCGCTGTTCTGTATAGGTAGGTATCCCTCTGTGTTTTTATATGCGTGCAGTCAGCAGAGAATAACAGTGGCATTCATCAGTTATGAAAGAAAAGCAGACTATTGGAGATCAAAAAGGCTACACTGCTGTTTTCGCTGGGTACATTTACAGTCTGTAATCTATTATTTATGCTTCTCAGTATATCTGTAGCTAAGAGAAAATCTAAATAGGGTGTCCTCAAGGCTTTCTGAGTGACAGTTGTCTAGATCCCAACATATACAGAGTGCTGCCAGCCACTATGCAGTGCAATCCCAAAATCCTCATGAGCGCTTAGTCATTTTGGGAAAGGACCTCACATGTCTGTGCTGGAAATAGACAGGACTTTCCCTTAACACAGTTGTCCACGTTATGACTCTGGTAGTAAATGAGCACAGATTGTTTCCTCCTTTTCTGTAATCAGCTCCATGATTATTTATTGTTCTTAGAGTTCCACTAAATATTGTCTAAGTGTTTATGCGTATATTTCAGGTTGATGGGAGGGGGATTGTTTACTGTTACGTTGAATGTTGTTCAAAAGAATGCTTGCTTTGTAGGGCTAGACCAGTCATCAGAGTAAATGCTGCCCTGGAAGTTAATCCAACCATTCTGAATCCAGAAAACAAAGCCTGTTCGCTGTCAGATGTGAAAGTTTCTTGGTAAGCAGGATATCTTTTGTTTTCCTTTGAGGGGAGGGATCTCTTTGTGTTTTATTTTCATAAGCTTTGAATTTTGAAAGCTTACATAAAGTTTAATCAACTAATTAAAAAAAGGCAACCATACGTAGATTTTTCTGAAAGAATGAGCAAAACAAATCTTTGACAACAATGAAAGGACATTGTCTTCAAAGATTATCTTATGTTACAGCTTACCCACATAGATTGTCAGTTGTCTGCATTGAGTAGAGTAAGATCTTCGCAAGATAGTAATGGTTCAGAGGGCTTTGTTGTTGTTGTTGTTTTTTTTAGCCTATTGACTCATTTTTTCGGAAAAATTGAGTGGGGTTATAGAAGATATTTGGGAAGGGTGTACTCTGCAGGCTGGTCTTGGTTCTGTTGTAACATTTTGTTCCTGGACTATAAACCAATTCTACTTTTCTTTTCTAGTGCTAACTTCCTTTTAAGCTCAGTAGGCCAGTTGCCTTTTAGCTTTAACAGTAAATGACTCACATTTGTTTTCAAGGAGAAGCACTGCCTCACAGGTGACTATTTCTACGTGAATCAAGGCTTCAAAGCTTTGCATTGCTTGCCTTACTGTCTACTTACTACCAGGTTCTGATTTCTCTCCCATCCATGGAAAAAAGGTTTTGGGAGAGAGTGAAAGTCTCGGAAGAAAATACCTTTGACCAGAGAAAACCAGCAAAGAGTTTTGGAAGAAAAGGAGAGGAAAAAAGTTTGTAAAGTGGATTTTTAATTAATCGTTTCTTTTCCTCCAAAACAGCTTTAAAGTGAAGTTCTGCTTAAAAGCGGATGGCAAAGGGGGACTCCCTAATTCACTCAGTAAGTTCCACTAGTTTAAAAACTTTGAAATCTGTTAATATTGTGTGCGAATATGAGTCAGCGTTCTTTTCAATTATTGAAACAACGGGTTATCATTTACAGCACAATCCTACCAGTTCAGTAACCATTTTGAAGTCAGTGGAATTTGCACATGCTTAGCACTTGCAGAATATAACAACTTTGTTGAGCTTGTCTTAGAAAGTTCTTTGTTTTAGAGAATTAAGATCAGCCCCTGGTGACAGGGGAATTTTGGATAAGAATATTCAAATATGTACATTGTTGAGCCTTTAAAAGCGTAGACAAGCCACAAAGAATTGGGACTCCTCAAATTTGAAATTAACAGCTTCTGATTGATTTCACTGATTTTTGGATCAGAATCTCTGGATCAGAATCAGAAAAATTGTTTCAAATGGGCTCTTAAGTTATCTCTAAGAGGTTTTGTAGTGGGGCCCGACAGCTGGCTACAGTCAACTTTCATCTATTGATTATGAAACCCTTTCCCTATTTTCTGTATGGCATGTATAAACGAGGCTTGATCTGGCAAGATTCATATAAACATCAATTACATATTTTAAATTTCATTATCTATATCAAATATTTGAAGCAATTAGATTAGCGATGGAGTTGAATAATGTAAATTGTATGTGTGAAACTATGTTAACTTTTTCTGAAAAAAGTCTTAACTTCTGTTGTGGCAGTTTCAAAGCAACTGTAAAACTATTATTTTGTGCGCAAACAATAATATATTTCCAATTTTTAAGGAAAGAGTGGAATCCAATTTTAGGACACTGGTAGAGCTTTTTAGTTACTGTATCAGTAGTAACAGACTTTATACCAGAAGAACTGGAGGTTTTAAAAGTTAAGTGTTAGGTTTTCATTATAGCTGAAATTGGCTTTAAATTCCATTTCTCATAGGAATCTGCTTTGTGTTCAAGTGGATGAAATATCCCTAACCCAAATGTTTTGGTTTTCACAGATTTCCAAGTGGAGCTGCTGTTGGATAAACTTAAACAGAAAGGAGCTATAAGGAGAGCTCTGTTTCTCCACAGCAAACAGCCTAGCCACTCTAAGAACATGACTATTACAAAGGGGGGCAAAATGAATTGTGAAGAACTTGATGCCTTTTTGAGGGTAAGTGGCCACTTGTGTTTTAGGGGAATCATTTTTTGTGTCGTGTCTGTTACAACTTTGTCGTTAAGGTGACTAAAAAAGTTAGAACAAGAAATGCTAGAGAAACTTCATGCCCAATGGATAAAGCCAGAATTATTAAAATCATACGTCTATGCTGGATTGTCAGTGTTGTGAGAGTGTGAAAGAGGTATGGTGTTGCGTTTAAGATCCTGGTCAGCTAGTGGATTGGAAATCCAATTCTGAGCTTTGTTGGGGACCTCTTGGGCATGTCATCTAGGCACAAAATTAGTTATAATTTGCAAGGAACAGAAAAGTCAATAAGCAGAGGTTCTATTACTACTTTGGAGGTAAGAGAAAGATGAGGAAAAATATAGATATGCCGATAAAAAGTAAAGGTCAGCAAATAACAGAGGACACAGAAGGTTGAAATAGTCAATCTGCTTTTTTGCAGTGTTTTTGCTTCAGTCTCCCCCATTGTGAACAGATGCTAACATGTATGCTAAAATGTATGACCCAGCAGAAGAAATATTGGCTGACGTAAGGAAAGACAGGTTAAAGAGTAGCTATGTGAGTTGCATACAGCTCAGATTTACCTTGGAGCGCTTATAAAATCAAAAATAAACGTTATTTAATGATTATGGCTAGTTTGCTTTTTTTTTTTTTTTTTTGAATAAAGACTTCATGGACGATAGGTAATTCTTTGACTAGCCTAGCAAATAGGGGATATATAGGAATAGCCGTCCCAGATCTTAGTGGCTGTAAAGCTTTAACACTTTCCAACCTGACATTCTTTTAAGGAAAGTAATGAAATATGTTCTAAGTGAAATTACCTTAAATTGGATGCAAAAATAATTGAAAGTTGTGATGAAAGAGTTATCTTTCTGTCTATAGAAGATAGCTTCTGAAGTACAGTCCTGCAAGCAACTGTTCTAGGTTTAGTAATATTCAGTATTCAGAAATGAGAATGATGAAGCAGAGTTTTTGCTGATAAAAATCTGTGGCTAACATAAAAGTAAGAAATAGTTTGTAAGCACTTTGGAGGACAGAATCAAAATTTGATAAATTGAATAGTCTGAAATTACTACTATAAAAGTCAGTGAATTGAAGTGCAAAGTGATATTTTTAGGAAGGAAAAATCTCAAGTCAAAAGATAAACATCTATGAGGGTTGTTAGAAGCATACTGAATTTCCTCTGAGAGGAAAGAGTAGAGTTATAGAGGCTCTTAGACTCCTGGCTATTATAGTTCCATGGCTTAGTCTTTCTATATGCTCCAGTTTCCCTTTGTGAAACAGGCATGTCAGTACTATAATTATCCATCTTCAAAGTTTACACTGAAGGTTTTCTGAGAAGAAATGTCCTAGTTTGAAAAAAGGTTGAATGTTTTAATGTTATTTTGACTTCCTCGTTACTACTACAACGTGAACAATAAACTGAAATACTGCCCAGTATTGATGTTGGGATGGCAGTTAGTTGAGTATAGAGACTTTCTAAGGATGTTTTATTTTTGTTTTCTTGCATGTTTTTATTGCAGTTGAAATTTTTTGTTTCCTCAGGATGAATCTGAATTTAGAGACAAACTAACTCCCATTACTATTTTTATGGAATACCGCCTGGATTACAGAACAGCTGTTGATGCAACAGGATTGGCTCCTATCCTCAACCAGTTCACTCCTGCTAATATGAGCAGACAGGTATATTTCTTAGAGGATCTGTGATGAAGAACCCAGGACACATTTTTAGCTTTCAGTGCTCATGTTCATATTAGTGTTTTTGAAAAATTAAGGTACCAAAATATATACCTAGGCTTTAATCCTTGAATTATGGAAATATTGATTGACTTGTATGTTTGTCTTTTATCTCTTTTCTTTTCTCCCCTCTCCCCTATCTCTTAAATTTCTTCTTTGACACATGTTATTCTTTAGTGCTTGAATTCTTTTTTCACCCATACTACTTAACAGTTTTCTAGAGAAAAGAAGTTAAATTAGTAACAAAGGTGTTGATTTTGAAGGGTGAGAATGTTTCATCCATTACTCATGTTCTGCTGCTCTATGTATTTTACCCATTTATCCCTGCATTTCTCTTAAGATAATAAATACAGTTTTTCTGTATTGGCCCTTTATACAGAGTTTTTTACAGTTGCTTGTAAAGAGGATAGTGGAGATGCAATTCAAAGCGAACAGATTATTGAAAGTGTAGAAATAGGTTTAAGACATGGAGACACCAGTGCTATTGCAGGATTAGGAAGGGTGCTCCCCATACATAAGCACACTTGTTGTCTTCTCTTTGAGGTCTGATGAGATGATATCTCATAATCAGCTGTTCAGAAAACCTCTGATTTAGTGGTGAAATAATATCGTTGGAAATGTATGTTAGAACTGATGCAGGAATTATTAAAACGATACGCATTTGATTTTTGCGTAGGCACATATTCTGTTGGACTGTGGTGATGATAATATCTGCAAACCAAAGCTGGAGGTTTCAGTAGACAGGTAAATAAATAATAATTTCCTTCTTTTAAGGAAAACCCATTTTCTGATTTGTAACTAAATATCATCAGCACGTCATACATGGAGAGCAAGCCCTTCGATCTGCCAAATACTATGAGTGCCTTTGTGCATGCGTATGATTTTGTTTACATATTTGCTAAAATGGAAACATATAGCTAGCATACAACAGCGTTGGTTGCATTAGCACCACTGTTTCCTTATTTAATACTAGATAGAGGCATGAAGATGTGAAACAGGTGTCACCCAGGTAAATCTGGAAAAGGAGACAAGTTTTTCACTCAAAATCCCTTCCTGAGGCAAGGCATTTTCAGCTTTGTGTTCCCTTTACTCACAAACATCAGCTGTTTTTTATGCCTATATGCGCATGTAGCTATATAGTAGAGTTCACAAGCATATGCGTTCATGCAAATGCTTCAGAAACTTCTAACATCAGTGCACCTACAATTAGCTTTCCTTGTAGTTGATAAAAGGAAAAAATATTGTTTGGGAAGATACTCTATATCTGGAACCAATCTATTACAGAGGTCTTGGCTGCATTCTGTAGTTGAGCCTTCCATCAAATTTTGTTTATAAAATATACGCTTATACCTCTTAAGTAGATATGTAATCCATAACATTCATAAGGATTTAGTTGTTCAGAAGTGTTTACTCTTTGTTCAAAAATGTGTGTGGTTTTGTAGTTTATTATATTTTTTCAAATATTTCTTATAAAACAGCATTCAATACTTGCTCCATTTTTGTCAGTGATTCTAGTCACATTTTTGCTTTAAATATAGCGCAGTGATCTCTTGATCTGCACAGTATTCTTGAAACGTAGGTAGTGCCTTGAGGTTTTTCCAATGTCTTCGTGCAATTTCAGAATGCCTCTTGTTTCTGTAAGTTCCACCTGTTAAATGTAATGTATTTAGAAACCAGACTGCAGAACTCATTTTTACATTTTTACATTCCTATGTAGCGATCAGAAGCGGATCGATATTGGTGACGACAATCCTCTGACACTAATTGTCAGTGCTCAGAATCAAGGGGAAGGAGCCTATGAAGCAGAACTCTTCGTCATCGTTCCACCCCAAGCAGACTTCATTGGTGTTGTTCGAAACAGTGAGGTAGAAGTCCAACTATCTTTCTTTGAAGAGTCGTAGTTGCTGCTATGGAAGTCTACGGGATAGGGCCCCTTAGTGGTGGTATTTAAGCTTCAATATTGAAGTAAAGCACCAAAAAATGGGAAAGTTCTTCCAAGCCCTGTGAATATGACACCTGCCTGAATGTTTCCAGTTTAAGAGCCTGCTAGTAGCAACAAAGCAGAATCTGTGTAATGGAGTTTGACACAAAGATAGTTTCCATTGCAAGTCTTTATTTGAATGGTGCCTTTGTTAATTTATTTAAATTTAAACTTAGACTGAGGCAACAAGTGATGTTGGGTGTGACTCTTCTCTTCCACCAAAGTATATAGAAAGCCTTGAGTCTCTCAGTTATCCTGACCAGAGAGAATGAAATAGTGATTTCTTGACTTTCCCTTGTATTTAAGGTGTCCAGATAATTTTTATTTATTTGAAGATACACAGGTAAAGTCCAAATTCAAGTTTAGTACATTATAGCTATTTACAAGTACTACAGATACTTTCAGTTCTTCTTTCTACTTGTTTTCCTCCAGTGTAATGTGTGATCGTTCAGTACATCTGAAAAGTTGCAGAATGTTAAGGGGAAAACTTTTATGTGTCTTTTGAGATCTGGACTGACACTATTGCTCTGCCTGCTAGCTTGTACTTTGTGGCCTGTGAGTCATTGATCTCCCTAAGCTTCCCACCCCAAATCTCAGTTGCATAGCAACTCTGAATAGCGAAACACTTAAATTTGGTTAAGGCACTAAAACCACTCTTACTTGGGATGATATAACTTATCTTCCGTTATTAAAGCACCAACTGGTGTTTTAAAAAGAAAAAAGGAAGGAAAAAATGGATTTGAAAGCATTTTCAGTCACCTCTGATACCATGTCCTTCATAGATATTGGACCATGCCTCAGCTTGATTGATTGACAGAAGTTTACCTTTGCTGCTCTGGATCTCTCTGATGTGGCTTATCAGTCCCTAGATGCCTCTTACCCTATGGATTTATCCAAAATCTGATAACTCCCCTGAGACTTCTTTTTGAGTGAGCTAGTGACTATTCATGTTGTTTTGCCAATCTTTATGTTTTAAAGACATGCTTAGTTGCCAGAATTTCTTCACATAGCTTTTAAAGAATCAAATAGAGAAATGCTTTAGGCCACAAAAATCATCAGTACTACCCAACATAAAGAGTACTGAATATCTCTTTGTATAACTTAAAGAACATCTATCTGATATCAAAATTATGTCTCCATGGAGGCTTTCATCTTCAGATTTTGTTGAATCTGTATAGTGCTTCATTATATTGGGACTGAGAAATTATATTAAAATCAATGCAACACGCCTGGAACTCTTACCCAGACTTTCGTCAAGAGGTAAAGAATGATGTTTCTTAATATTTCTTTCTACTTTACTGCAGGCTTTAGCAAGACTGTCATGTGCATTTAAAACTGAGAATCAAACTCGCATGGTAGTTTGTGACCTGGGAAATCCTATGAAAGCAGGAACTAAGGTACAGTTTGGTTCAACAGGCGTTTGGTAGCTCAAACAGGAATGCAGCTGGCTCTTTTCTTAAGCACAGTAGTGTTTGGGCAGGATGTTTACTCATACAAGTATAAGATAAGGTCTAGCTGACGTTTCGCCACCCACATGTTTGGTCATTTCAGTAAAACCACTGATAATTGGTTTCAACTTTTCAGCTGAATTAAAGTCTGAAAAGGATTTCATGAGTTTTATGTTTTTCCTGTTGCCACTTGGAAAATGAGTAGGTCAATGAATAGTGGAATTACTGAGCTTTGGTCCCCCTTAGGGTTGTGTCCTTAGACCTAATGTGGATTTTTTAGTATATAGTAAGAGCAAGCACATAATGCATCTTTCTTACTGTGGAAAACTAATAGGGCTTCTTTCTTCTGCCTGTTTTTGTGAAGTTTGGAAAACAGTTTCATCTAGTTAAGACCTTTGCACTTCCATCAAATGTAACTGAATTTAGAAGAGTTGAACTCTATTAGAAGTGAGTCACTGATGGATAGTATGACCTAATAGGTCTAATTTTCTGAGGAAACAAAGCGAAAATCAGTACAATTATAAATGCTTTGACGGTGCTTTTATTTAGGAACATTTTGTAAAGGTGAATAAATACAATTTCCAACCTTTTTTGAAGTGTATCAAGCTGAACTGCACAGATATTAAAGCAACTATTGTGCACTGAGTTAGAACAAACCTTGTGAACTGTGAATTTTCAAACTGTTGAACCTGCTGTTCTTCAGACTGCGGTACTTTATGACAGCACATGGGGGAAGGCTCAGTTATATGTAAAAATGGCTAAAGCAAAGGGAATGAGGATGATGGAAATTATACCTTTCTATTTTATGGCAGCAATATATCAGCTAAAACATATACTAAAAGAGGTATATTTCTAGCCTTGGTGATTGGGATGAGTTTTATTTGCCAGTTCAGTATGTCTTGTCTTCATGACCGCATGCCTTGAGCAATTCCATTGTAGTCTAATAGTACTGAGAAGCTTTTACAATGTATTTTATTATGCTTCCACTGAACCATGGTGATTTTTTCTAAAGCTATTAGCTGGCCTGCGTTTCAGCGTGCACCAGCAGTCTGAAATGGATACCTCCGTGAAGTTTGACTTGCAAATCCGAAGGTAGGGAAATCTGTGAATATGCACCTCTTCTGGTAGATAACATGCTAAATCAGAGAGATTTAAAAGGCTGTAAAGATTAAAAAGATGATAAAGACTGTGAACTCCACATACAATTTCACTCCAGACTAATTCTTTTTTTGCCTGGAAATGTTTTAAAAAATAAAAAAAACTAATTTTTATGACTTATGATTTCTAAAGTATGGAGAAAATATAGGAAAATCCAGTTTTCTATTTGAATGGAGTTTCTTTGGCTTACAGCTTTTAGACTCGCTAAGGCGCAAGAGAAATACTGCTATATTAGTAATGAGAAACAAAACCATTTAAAGTGTTTCAAAGAAAACTTTGTATTTTTGTACCTATGTATTGTTCCGATCCTCTGACACTTGTGTAGTGCCACAGAATAACTTGTGTCCTTGGGTATCTCATCTCTCTGTTTTGAAACTAATGTTTGGACACTGGATTTCTTCTGAGGATGTAAAATTTCAAATTTCATGTATTTTGAGGATGGGGAGGTTAAGCCTTGCAGAGGGGGCGTTGCGTATGCAAGGAGCAGAGCAATGTGCAATGAACAATTTTAGATGCATCATACAGTAGCTAGCGTAAGAGAGCCTACAAACTAAATTAAACAAAACAGTAGTTCTCCTGGTAAATATAGCATATTACTTTCATATAAGTGTGATATATAAATATTAATTTACTGGAGAAAATATTTAAGATTTGGAGATATGAACAATAGGGATTTCTTTAGCCAATAAAGGTTTTATGCCACTGAACCTACAGTGTAAATACAGTTGTTCCCCCGCCCGTGGTGGACCAAAAGTTTTTTTCACATTTAAGGGCTTAATTTTTCGTATGTAGTGAATAAATTATTCTCATTCACATACACGTTTTTCGTCTACAAGAGTTAAATAACTTTATCATTCTGTTTTAATGATACAGTGGTTTGCCCTGGTGATCAAAGGTTTTGGCAGCACTAAATCTCTCTTTGATCTTGCCTTTGATCTGTCTACTCAATTGTTTTTTGCCTCTTCTCTATCAGCTAGCAAACTATGCCAGCAGCATGGGAGGCCAGTTCTTCTTTGCAGAAAGTGATCTTCTCTGGGGCATCTGGCTTCTCCTTTAGAGTAAGAGCAGTCACTAACTGTACCTTTCACTGGGAGACTAAACAGTCATTGAAGGATCTCTTAGTGAAGTTGCTTTAATCATGCTTCTCTTCTGATGGAAGACAAAGGAAGTTCCTATAACGTTTTCCACCCCTCATTTGAAGGAATTTCCTTATGTGACTTCTGACTGCCGCTTATCATCATGCCTCTGTATCTAGCCATGAGATCTGTCTTACTCTCATTCCAAGTCTAAACTTTTAACAAAGAAACTTGTGAGAAAATCAGCAATCTTCGTATGATAAAATGTAGAATAATATAGATAATAAAATATAATGGGAGAGAGATGAATATATCTTGATTATGTGTACAGCTGTGAGAACAAAATAAACTAAAAATTACTTCCACAGAAGTGGAGAACAAGGGAGAACAAGACTGCAATATTATTAATTTGTGATGATTCTACAAATCAGGAGTATCAAGTATATTCGACTTGAATATTACCTGCTTTCAGCTCACTTGACGATATTTACAAGTCACAGCACTGGCTGAATTCCCCTCATAGGAAGTCACAGGACTATTGTTCTGGACCTAGGCTTCAGAGTTGCGTGCTTTGAAGCCAGCTGGCTCTTAACACAATTCAGGTGCTATCTCTTAATTTGGTTTCTCTTGCATTTCTGCAAGGATCGGACTTCCCATCGAGTTAGCCTCGTTAGTGCCCTTTGAGAATCAAGGAAATGCTTTACTCTGTCTTCTTACCTGATGATAGGTTCCAATATACAGTGTGTTTTTTAACACATTATCTCTGAGAGAGACACTCTGCTGAAGATTTTCTATTCTATAAATACCATCCTTTTCTCTTCCATTGGCCCTGGCATTGGGAGGATACCTTAGAGTGGGTAAGAGTTAATAGTGAGGAAATAATCTTTGGAGCCTATCTGCTCTCTTTCGAGATCAGCTGTTTAAGTAACAGTCTCTGAACACAAGAACAGTGATGCAATCAAACATGGTAATCACAGTTTATAGTGACAGATATTATTAAGGTATTATCTCAGAGATTTTAAAGATCATGCTAGTTCTCTTAAACTCACAAAGCTAAACTTCCAAAGCTGTCACAATTCATAGCAGAACAACTTTAGTCTCTCAAAGGACGAGGTATTTACAGGTCAGGAAGAAACACTGGGGGCATGTTTTGTGTTTTTTTTTTTTTGATTACAGCAGCAGTGAAGAAATTAGAGGTTTTGAGAAGACCTTTCTAAAGGAAATGGTGTGGTTTGGGTGAGAGATGGGATGTGACTGAGGAGATCAGGATTCTGCCCCAGCTTCACAGCGAGGGAAGCGGGAGTGTTCTTTATATTTCTGATTCTCTGCTTATGAAATAAGCCCAAAAGAAGTTATGTGCAACTGCTTCTACCTGCTTTAATATCTGTCACATCTCTTGATAGATCTAAAGTGTGGGAATCAGACCTTAACTATGTTCATTTACTGTTTTGAGAAATTATGAAGAGAGGTAGCCAAAATTGCCCTAGCATACTTTGTTGCCTTGGGACTCATTGGAGGCCACACAAGCTCCTGGGCAAAACAGGTGCTCTAAAGTGGAACGTAAGGCTGTGCTAGCTATAGAGCTGATGTTATCCCACAGCACTGGCATTTGAATTTCCTTATATGCCACAGCTAAGGAGTGGAGCAAGCAGCTGCTTTATGTCATATATCAACTTCCCTCTGCTGAGGGAACTCCAAATCGCACTGAGTAGGATTGTCGTGCTTTTTACATGAGAAGGTGTTGGAACAGAATATGTGCTACTTAGTTTTTAGTATGTTTGCTCTCCTGCAGTGGCTTCGGAGTCATGTTATGATGTTACATACAATTATTTATATGTGTATACATATTTTAATATGTAGTTTTCTGCTGCATTAAACAAACGTAATTTATTTTCTCTGCAGTTCCAATCTGTATGACAATCTAAGTCCAGTAACATCCTATCAGGTTGACCTTGCCATTTTAGCAGCTGTTGAAATTAGAGGGTAAGCACTGATACTGATTTTAAATGTCTTCTTCTCAAGTGAGCTTTGCATTTTTTTTTTCTTTATAATTCAATAAACTTTCAGGTCTGTCTGTGTAAGTTTTCAGGAAGCTTTAGGGAAGTTTTAGGAGAAAATGTGGCTATTGCTAGTCACCTTGTGGACTTTCAAATCTTAATTACGAAACGGTTTCCAAAAATGAATGTTTTGCTTTTTTTATTAGAGCTTTTTCTAGAAGAAAAAAAATGACCCCTCATTTCTGCAGTGTCACACGTTTCTCCAGATCGCTTTCCTCTTCTACAACCTGGCTGGGTTTTCATCTCCAATGCTTTCTAAAACGAAAGTTGAAAATCCCGCTAAAGATCAGCTTGCAGTGGCTTCACCTTCTTTAGTCTTAAGCATAGTATCAATAGCGTAATGACTCCATTACCTTCATTACTTCAACTTACTGGAAATCTACATTTTATAGCTAAAAGCTATACAGTCCTCTCGCTTAGCCAGTTAACTCAGATTCCCAAGTCATCGATTTCGACTGCATTCATTATTTGTTCCTTGTGATATACTTTGGTTTTGAGGGTTGTGAGAGGGGAACTACTGAAAAGTATTATCACTAGCTTCACTGTTTTCAGTGCATGTTTAATTATTCTTACGATCATACAGATCAAATCTTCACATCAATATTTCTCATTATTGAAATATTTCATGCTGTAAGTTTCTTGGTGATGTGCAAGTATCTTAAAATTCTACTGAAATTTTATTAGATACTGTAAGATGAATCCAAAGTCTAAGAAAGGAGAAAAAAAAAAGGATTTTAAACACATACAAGATTCATCTTTTCACAGAGGGAAGAAAGTTAAGCATTTCATATACAAGCCACTCACCTCTGTTCTTTCTATTTTTAAATATAGTGGATGAAAAATTGGAGATTATTTTCGACATGTTTAGTTTTTTGATATGTTATAAAGAATTGCATCTAATGTTTCATACTCGATAATAACTACTTGTTCACTCCACTGTTTAGTGTGTCGTCTCCTGACCACATATTCCTTCCTATTGCAAATTGGCAGCCGAAAGAAAATCCAGAAACAGAAGATGATATAGGGCCTCTAGTTCAGCACATCTATGAGGTATGCAGTCACTACCAATGTCAACGTCAGTTCTGTGATTAAAAAAAAAATCTTTTGACATAGCTTTTCTATGGAGTAAATTGTCGCTTTTTTTCCCTCTATTTTGTTCTTGCATAGAACAAAACCTTCTTATACTGGGTCAGTCATTAGCATCTCCAAGAAGTGGGAGAATGCCCACAGTTAGTGTAGCAAGAGCAGCCAAATACAAGCTACTGTGATATTTTACAGCATTACTCATATTTTATTATCTGTAAGATTTTCTAGCCCTTCGAAATCTAGATGAAATAGTTGAAATAACTTGAACTCAGCAAATGCCTTATGGCTATAAATTATTCAGGGTCCTCATTTGCATCCCAACTATTCTGAATCTTTATCACAAAAGTCTTTTGCCTTGACAATTTTTAAGTGTTTAAAATTTTTTTTTAAAAGAATGATCACAGCTTTAATCTTGACTGTTTAATTAAGCAAAACTTACTGAGAGCGTTGTATGAATAATAAGAGTTGTAACTCTTAACAAGATATCATTTATCTAAGAAAATTATGGACATATGTAGCTGTGCTCAGAGTATCTTGGTTGAGACATACAGTGGCTGTGATTTCATGCAGTATGATACAAAACAAAAATTACATTTCTTCAAAGCAAAAAACTGTTCCCATACCTTTTCTTGAAAGTAATTTTTATCAAATTAGAGAAGTAATTTTAAGTTTTGCCTGTTGGGAGACTAAAGTTCAGTTTGCATTTTAAGTAGAAGTGTTGCTATTGCGATAAGTAGTCTTACCTTCAGTGTCATTTATAGCTCAAGTATAAACTAACTACTCTAAGTGCATTAACAAAGAATGTGGCATTGGTTTTCATGTCTGTTAATTTTGATTTTCCTCATCAGCTGAGAAACAATGGCCCAAGTGCTTTCAGTAAGGTGATGTTGACTCTACAGTGGCCTTACAAATATAAAAACTACACACTGTTGTATATTGTTCAGTATGAAATTGATGGTCCCATGAACTGCACTTCTGATATGGAGATCAATCCATTGAAAATTAAGGTAAACAGAAATTTTCTTTTTGTTTGAGTGTAGTGATGTATGTTTCTTTATTTGGAAATACACTAAATGCACCCTCAGCAAGCTTGCTGATGATACTAAACTGGGGGGAGTGGCTGACACACCAGAAGACTGTGCTGCCATTCAGAGAGACCTGGACAGGCTGGAGAATTAGGCAGAGAGGAAGCTCCTGAAGTTCAACCAAGGCAAGTGCAGGGTCCTGCACCTGGGGAGGAACAACCCCATGCAGCAGTGCAGGCTGGGGGCTGACCTGCTGGAAAGCAGCTCTGCAGAGAAGGACCTGGGAGTGCTGGGGGACAGCAAGTTAAGCATGAGCCAGCAACGTGCCCCGGTGGCCAAGAAGGCCAATGGTCTGCTGGGGTGCATTAGGCAGAGCGTTGCCAGCAGGTGGAGGGAGGTGATCCTGCCCCTCTCCTCAG